AGAAAGAATTTGAAGAAGAACTAGATAAAGCTCTAAATGCCCAGATTGAGATCTTTGTCCTTCAGAAGTTTATAGAAGATCTGGAAGAGAAGAATTTTGCATTATTAATTGAGAGTCAGAGACATGTTGAGGCATCCAAATTTTCTGATAAGCTGATCGCAGAATTGGAGAATGAAAATCTTGAGTTACAGGTGGAAGAAGAATTCTTGGTGGGAGAAATCGAAAAGTTAAGGCTGGGAATTCGTCAAGTGTTCAGGGCTCTTCAAACTGAACCAGATAGCCATGAAAATAAGAGTGGACAAGAGCAAGTACCTGTGCCGCACATTTTGAATACTATTAAGGACTTGAAAACGTCTTTGTTTAGGAGCAAGGATGAGGAACAACAGTTGCTGGTTGAGAAGTCAGTGCTCTTAACTTTACTTGAGCAAATGAGATTAGAGGGTGCAGAGATAGAATTAGCAAAACAACTCTTCAAGCAGGAGTATGAGATTATGGTAGACCATTGTTCTATGCTACAAAAAGAGAAGCATGAGCTTCTAGAGATGACGAGGCAGCTGAGGTTGGAAGTGACCAAGAAAGAGCACAAGGAGGAAACATTAGAGGCACAATTGCAAACGCTTCAAGCTAAGGTGGAAAATTTTCAGGATGCTTATGTGGTTTTGCACAAAGAGAACTCCAAGGTGCTTGAAGAGAGAAGATCTTTGCATAAGAAAGTTTTGGACCTGAAAGAGGAAAAGAAAATGCTTGAAGAGGAGAATAGTGTTAATTTCCATGAAGCACTAGCTTTCAGCAACCTCTCTTTGGTTTTAGAGAGCTTCACAATTGAAAAAGCTGCGGAACTAAAAGCACTTGCTGAAGATCTCAACACCCTCTTTGTAATTAACAATGACCTCAAAGAGGCCGTTGGAATATTGGAGGAGAATTTAGTGATGAAAGAAGTAGAAAATCTACATCTGAATGACACGGTCCAATTGTTGGACAAGGAACTGAGTGAAGCCAATGACTTAAATGGTCAACTAAGCCATCAAATTGCAGTTGGAAAGGATTATCTGAAACAGAAAACCATGAAGCTCTCAGAGGCAGAAGAGAAGCTTGAAAAGACAGAGGAATTGAATCTGCAATTATGTAGAACATTTCAGGAACTGAAGATGGAATATGAAGAATCAAAAATTGTGAAAGAAAATTGTGAGAAGCAGATTCTTGAACTATCTGAAGGTAGCACAAATCAGAAAAAGGAAATCGTTGGCCTTTGTGAAGCGAATGAAATTCTGGAGAATGAAATCTTGTGTAAAGCAATTGAAAAAGAAATAGAAAATCTACATATGAATGAGACAGTGCAATTGTTGGACAAGGATCTTTGTGAAGCCAAGGACTCAAAAGCTCAGCTAAGCCATCAAATATTAGCTGGAATGAATTCTCTGAAACAGAAAACCATGGAGCTCTCAGAAGTTGAAGAGAAGCTTAGAAAGACAGGGGACTTGAATGTGGAATTGTGCAGAACCATTCAGGAACTGAGGATGGAAAATGAAGATTCAAAACTAATGAGAGAAAATTGTGAGAAGCAGATTCTAGAACTATCGAAAGATAACTCAAATCAGAAAAATGAAATTGATAGCCTTCACAAAGCAAATGGAACTCTGGAGATTGAAGTGGGCATCTTAAGTGAAGTAATTGAAGAACATAGAATTAGAGAAGAGAATTTGAATTCAGAGCTGCAAGAAAGAAGCAATGACTTTGAACTCTGGGAGGCTGAGGCTGCAACATTCTATTTTGATTTTCAAGTTTCTGCTGTCCGTGAAGTTTTTCTTGAAAATAAAGTTAATGAGCTTTCTGAAGTTTGTGAGAGTCTTAAAGATGAAAGTGCTACAAAAGGTGTGGAGCTTGAACAAATGAAAGAAAGAGTTAGCTCCTTAGAAGGTGAAGTTGGAGGACTGATGGCCCAAATGTCTGCATATGTTCCTGTTGTAGCCTCATTGAGAGAGAATGTAGCATCTCTTCAGCACAATGCCGTTCTTAGAACAAAGCTTCTTGTGGAAAGCAATCAACAATATAAGGTAATATTTTGCCTCTTTTGAGAAACATTAATGATCATGATGATTCAGAAGTTACAATCTGAGCTAGGTAGTTGCTCCATTTTTGGTTTTGACAGCATGAACCCAAATTAATTGGCTTGAATTTCAAGGGAACCTTCAAGAACATAGAAGTGTATCTGTTTAGTGTGTGTTTTTGGCCAATTGGCATGGAGGAAATGTGTATCTAACTGCTATCATAAGTTCACATAAAATTCCAGTTAGTTCTGAGAGTCGTTTATATTAAACTTAAAACATTCTTGTTCTGGTGAAGGCCTTCGGAACAGAAACATATTTGAGAAAACAAGTCTGCAAGTTGTCTTGAAGTCTTGATTTTCTCGACTGAGACATGTAGTTTTTGCATGCATAATTTTAGTCTTAGTGCTAAAACCTAATACTTAACATGCTTGTGTCTGATTGCACCACTCTGACCATTGCCATTGCCAGCTGCTGCTCTTCTTCTTTCTTCTAATTAACTTTTTGCTTCTAGGATATTGAACCACAAAATTATCTACATCAAAAGATCTGTCAGGATTCCAGAGAAGATCAAAGCACATTGGTACCAGACGGAATTTCAGAATTGGAAAAAATGCAGACTATGATCAAAGAAGTTGAAAAGATGTTTGTAGAAGAAACAGAAAGGCTTGCAATTGAAGCAGTTGAAAAGGCAATGGTGGAAGAAATGGAAAGGCTTGCAACTCAGGAAAGTACAAAAAACACCAACATCAAAGTGGAGGTTTCCGTGGAGATCGAAGAGCTAAAATCAAAAGGTACCTCACTTCAAGGAAAGGGCAGTAAAAGTGAAGAGCTGAAACTTGTGAATGAGTTTACTGATGAAAATCTCAAGTTGCAGAGGATGAAATCTGATAATGGGACTTCGATGAAAGATATTCCGCTTGATCATGTTTCAGATTGTTCATTTTATGGAAGAAGCGGGAGAGATAATGGTGGGGCGGATGATCAAATGCTTGAGTTATGGGAAACTGCCGAACAACACTGCCATCAGGATCCAGTGGCCAGTGAGATAGAAAATCAGGCATCTGCACCAAGGGAAGATGTGGCTTACCATCGGTTTGCAGATTCGCAGAAGATCATTCAAAATTCTTCTTCGGAAGTTCAGGTTGAGAAGGAGTTGGGCATTGACAAGCTGGAGGTGTCCCTTAATATTCAAGGGCCAAGTCATGAAGGCAAGAAGGAAAAGATATTGGAGAGACTTGCTTCTGATGCTCAGAAACTGATAAGTCTGCAAACAATTGCTCAAGATTTGAATAAGAAGATGGAGACAAACAAGAAGGGTAGAAAGGCAAATGGCACTGAATATGAAACAGTCAAGACACACTTGCATGAAGTTGAGGAGGCAGTTGTGCAGCTAGCAGAAATTAATGATCAATTGAAAAAGAATATCGAAGAGTCTCCGTTGAACGAGCAGACGTCCATGGAGTTGGAGGAGGCTGGAAATGTCCGGAGAGAGAGAATACTCGAACAGGCAAGTAAAGGGTCTGAGAAGATTGGAAGGTTGCAGTTTGAGTTACAGAACATTCACTATATTTTGCTGAAATTGGAGGATGAAAACAAAAACAAAGGGAGGAATGGATTTTACGTAAGTAGAACAGGTGTTCTCCTGAAGGATTTTATTTACAGTGGCAGAAGTAGTGAGAGGCGCAAGAAGGCTCGTGTGTGTGGGTGTATGAGACCCTCCACAAATGGAGACTGAGGAAGTAACCACTTTAGAGGGAAGCATATTTTATTTGCTTTTAAGTTTTCATTCCATGAAATGGTCCTAATATTATTACCTTAAGCAAATCATTTCTTGGATTAGTTGGTGAAAACTGAACTGTATTAGCTCAGATTCTCTGTAAGATTTAGGCTTGATCTAATCAAAATAAGATGCTTCCTTCTGCTTTTCATCTCATAAACTGTAGAAACTTACTAATTTTTATTGGAGAAACTCAAAATAATACAAGCTTCTTTTTTTTCTTCAATTCAAATGTTTTCCAATAAGATGGGAAATGGATGGAGTTGAATATTAACCGGATTTTTAACCGAGACCTTGGATGTGGTACAACATCTGAAGCAGGAATTTAATGGATGTAATGCTTAATGATCCTCAATTTCAGATTTCTGTACATATCTTTTTTACCAAATTATTATTATTTTTTATAGTGGTGATTCTGTTGGCATAATTCAATTCAACCGATCATATATTGGCAACGACAATCAGGGAGAGACAAATGCTCTAACTCTTTGAAACAACACTTTATTTATAAAGAGTAACATTATTAACCCGAAGTACTCACCTCACCTATCCACTCTAAAATCTGCCAAAGTCTACAAAATATCACCATTGCCTCGCCCAGTGAGCCCACCCTCATTGCATCCAAGTTTGAATCCGAATCTTCTCACAATTGATTAGATTAACTTAGAGTAAATTAGACCATCACTGATATGGAAGTAATGCCCATTGCCCCTTGAGTTGGGAGCTATCTTAGGCCTTAGGGGCGAAGCTCTAGGCCTTAAGTTGGGGGGCTTGGTCATGAAGCAACGCCAACACCCTTCTTGTATTTCATTTCCTTGGAGCACCCACTTAAACTTGAGGGCTGGCTTTGGCATTGTGGCAGTGCCTCAGGCAGCTAATGTCTTTTTTCTTTATACATAAATCAGGACTCTGAAATCGGCGACTGCCTTCAAAATTGGTGAAGGTGCAAAATAGCTTCCCAACACTTCAAACTGACATAGGGAAAGGATCAAAACACATCTGCCGTTCAGCCTTTCTACATGTTTTGCCTGTCGACTTTAATTGTACTGATTGAATAAAGGAAAAAATCCTTTTATAAAACAGTAAGCGGAGTGACGCTATTTGGCATGTACTTTTGGTACACATTACATGGTAGATCGAATAGGAATAATATAACTGAGAATGTAAAAAGCAGGATTCAAAGATAATCTCGGATTATAAATATAATAAAAACTTAGTATTTGGATTAAAGCACAAAATTTCGGTCATGCAACTTTCTTTTCCTCACAGCTAGAACATAACAAGCAGCAAGTAATACGGTCTTCAAGTTCACAAAACATAAATCGAGCAACTCTAAAATAGAAGAAAATGAACAAAGGCTGCATTTAAGCTCCAACGATTTCTGGTGGGGGCTCAGTCACTGCTTCTTCAGCAGGTCTTTCAACCTTCTGACCAACATCTTCATTACCACCATGGACCTACAGATACAAAGTCCATTTTACTTCATCAATATCCAGCTACTGTCGAAATGCATTAGTGCGTGACAGATCATGATGCAAAAATGCCACCAAAAATTATTTGAGATAAAGCAGATGTCATGGAATGAAGGGTTTCAAACTATTTATCCTCAGAATGAATTTAATAATGACAGATAAGCTCGAGTATTCCAGAAGTACTATGGTCAGGGCTCATTTATATCTTAATAATGTTACAAATGCCAAAAAATGTTTGCACTGTCAGTCAACTCTGCATGCTAAAACAGAATAAGGGCATACCTCCATTAGCTTGGTAAGATCAAACTTTGGTGCTTTCAAGATCTTGACTTTCCGGATGAAGACATTTTGCAATGGATAGATGCTCATGGTTGCCTTCTCAATCTCTTTACCGATACTCTCAGCAATGAACTTGCGAACCAAGTCCTTTAGATCACTAGATGTCGCCTGGGCGACCATGATCTCCCTCATCTTACGGCGGATCTGACAGAATCAATGCAGCATTACATCATGTTACAGCTAAACAAAGACTTCCGACTACACCTAAAAACATAATTTCATGGAAATATTTCTAATATAAACATGTAAACCCTAAAGTCAATATTACCTGTCTAATCTGGCTAGATTGTGCATAACAGGTCCTCTTGACCTGATTTGGACGTCTCTTGGTGAAGCCAATGCAGAACAACCGGAGAGTGTAGTTGTCTGTGGTCTTCACATCCACATGAGCTTCAATTAAAGTTTGCCATTACCTCACCAATGACCTCAACTTGTCGGTTGTGAAGTTCATTCCCTGAATAATCCAATAAAACATCAGTAGAGGTGGAAATAAATTTATATTAGAAATCATAAAAAAAAATTAAGAAACATATGGACATTATAATTTTCTTACCCAGAAATTTGTAAGAACATTCCTCCCTTGGACATCTTCAGCTCTCAATCGCATCTTTCTGTAAGCATGTTCCTCATCACCCTGAAGGTCAGCAAGCGATACCTCAAAGACTCTATGTTTGAGTCCTTCTGAAGCAATCTGTTAAAATCCCAATGCTTGTTAAGAGTATGAATTATGTGAACAATTAAAGATAAGTGGTGAATGTTCTTATGTCAAAAAGAAATGTTCTTAAGCTCAACTATTGCTTTACAAATGTGCATGAAGAAAGATGTATTGACTATATAATAGCTTTACAATTTTGCATGTCATACGCAACAACAAGAGTACTAAAAGCAATGATGTCAAATTCAAATATCCAGCTTTAAATTCCAGAACAGAATTGAGTAAATAAAAAGTTTTAAACTCAGAACTGAGGAAAATATCTCAAACTGACATGAAAAAGGGGTACTCCAAACATTATAGCTGGCATTAAAATTCCACTGAGTATTGAACTCAGAAACAAATGCAACAATGGCTCAACTTCACGGTAAAATACATCTGAACAATGCTAACAAAAAAAACCATTTTTCATGCATTACATCATGTTACAGCTAAACAAAGACTTCCGACTACACCTAAAAACATAATTTCATGGAAATATTTCTAATATAAACATGTAAACCCTAAAGTCAATATTACCTGTCTAATCTGGCTAGATTGTGCATAACAGGTCCTCTTGACCTGATTTGGACGTCTCTTGGTGAAGCCAATGCAGAACAACCGGAGAGTGTAGTTGTCTGTGGTCTTCACATCCACATGAGCTTCAATTAAAGTTTGCCATTTCCTCACCAATGACCTCAACTTGTCGGTTGTGAAGTTCATTCCCTGAATAATCCAATAAAACATCAGTAGAGGTGGAAATAAATTTATATTAGAAATCATAAAAAAAAATTAAGAAACATATGGACATTATAATTTTCTTACCCAGAAATTTGTAAGAACATTCCTCCCTTGGACATCTTCAGCTCTCAATCGCATCTTTCTGTAAGCATGTTCCTCATCACCCTGAAGGTCAGCAAGCGATACCTCAAAGACTCTATGTTTGAGTCCTTCTGAAGCAATCTGTTAAAATCCCAATGCTTGTTAAGAGTATGAATTATGTGAACAATTAAAGATAAGTGGTGAATGTTCTTATGTCAAAAAGAAATGTTCTTAAGCTCAACTATTGCTTTACAAATGTGCATGAAGAAAGATGTATTGACTATATAATAGCTTTACAATTTTGCATGTCATACGCAACAACAAGAGTACTAAAAGCAATGATGTCAAATTCAAATATCCAGCTTTAAATTCCAGAATAGAATTGAATAAATAAAAAGTTTTAAACTCAGAACTGCGGAAAATATCTCAAACTGACAAGAAAAAGGGGGGGTACACCAAACATTAGAGCTGGCATTAAAATTCCACTGAGTATTTAACTCAGAAACAAATGCAACAAGGGCTCAACTTCACGCTAAAATACATCTGAATAATGCTAACAAAAAAACCATTTTTCATGAATCCCAGTTTTCCAAACAAACAGATAACAGGGTAATCCTAAAACTCTGAACAGATGCAATCCATACATTAAAAATCAGGGCATAACAAGTTCACAGATTATGGTTCAGCAATAACCACAATCTAATCAACAGCAGCCTAACCCACCAACTGATCCAATGAAGCCAGATGCACGCAACTCTACAGACATATATGAGACTAAATCTATCTTCTCAAGAGAAATTAGAATTAGGCTCATCCCACAACTACTTCCGGCGTATACCAGAAATTCACGAAAACAAAACTACTCAAAAACAAAAACAAAAACGAACCCAAATACACACACACACACACATACAGATAGAAATAATACCTTGGTTCCCTGAGTACGGGAGACGAGGGTTTTACCCACATTCTTGTTCTGGAACAACGAAGGGGCCTTGATATCATACCAATCCTTCTTGGCAAACGGATCAGCCCTGTATTTTTTCAAATACACATACAAATACAAATCAATAAATCAATAAATGGGCAAGATTAATACTTATGAACCAAATTGTATGAAATGAAAAATGAAAACAAAACTACACAAAAGAATAGATCTGTAGTAAATCATGAGTAGATGTAAAAAATGAGCTTACGCTTTCTTCTTTCCTCCTTTCTTGGACTTGGAAATCCTCTTGTTCTTCCTGTGTCAAACAAAGCTCAATGTGTCAGTGACTCGTTTAGGAATTTAACAGCTGAATATACAAATCCAAAGTATGGAGAAAGTACCCAACGGCCATGGCTGGAGCTTGGAAGAGCTGAAGAGCTCAAGCGTGACCTGCCAGACAGACGAAGTGAGAGTCGAAACGGCTGTGAGAGCAAACCCTTTTCGATGACACAAAAACCCTAGCCCTCTCTTATATAAATTGGATAGGTCTTGCCCTTACTGAGCTGGGCTCAGGTTACAGTTGGGCCATATTTTGTAATTTGTTAAAATAAGACGACTCAAGTTATGACTGGGCCTTATATGAGAAAGCCCAAGAAAAGGCCTAAGTTCTGGGGTCTGGCTCTGGCTCTGACCCAAACCCATTATGTCTATTATGTTGATATAATGGGACACGAGGTCATGTGTTTGATCCCTCCTCCCCAAATATCGGGTAGGCAAAAAAAAAAAAAAAAAGTTATGCTCACCTGTTAAGTTGTTAAATACTTGTGAGAGGAGTGAAACTGATCCTCTTGTTTGTCGGCAATTTTTTTTTTTTTTTCTAAAAAGTGAGTGGGTGAGAAAATAAACTATAACTAAGTTAGGTCAAAAGTTCAATTTTCTTTCATTGTAACCAAAAGAAAAAAAAATTTACAAATTTATAAATAAGCCCAATCTTAGACATGTATTTATAAAAAAACCCAAGCACTATTTAAACATAGAAACACACCCAAAATCAACCATAAAGTCAACTTTTTGGGTGTGTTTATAAATGGGTTTTGAGTGTGTGTAATGATGGGTTTTGGGTGTGTTTATATGTTTCAATAGTGCTTGGGTTTTTTTATAATTTCAACCCCCATTTTGAGTGTTTTAGTGAAACTCCCAAAAAAATTTGGACCAACTTCGAAGTCAGATCCATGCATTCAACTTTTGAGGTCCAAACAACAAATTGATACCAAAACATGACATACACTACAGTTTTGAAGACATTTATGACTATTTTTTATATACAGAAAACATCAATTCTCATAGATGTACTGGTTATTAGGTACTCTAACCAAATAATGCAATACATGCTGAATTACTGATAAACTACTCATCCAAAAAAAGTTCAATCATACATGCAATAATAGAACAAGTCGTGTGTCAAATTTCATATAACAAGAGAGTCAAAAGAGCAAATTGATTGAAATATTTTTTTTTGGATTTACAATAAGCCCTCAAATATAATTTCAACAAGGACACAGATTAAAGAAAAAAAAATCGTAATTCTCGGTTGATCATGGATAATGAGATGCCACATGAGGCGGAGGTGGAGGCGGCGAGGGTGGCGGTGGACTTCTTGGTGTGCACCCAAAGGCATCACAATTGACCAAATGGGCATAAAATGTGGCACATTCCTGCGGGGATCGCTGCAATGGCCTATATGCAATACAATTCTTCCTATCATCTTGTTCTGGCAACTTGATGCATATTGGTGGTTCACCACAGAAATAGTTATATGAGTGTGTGAAGTTCTCCAACTTAGGCAACAAGCATATGCTAGCAGGAACCTCCCCTGACAATTTGTTATGTGCCACATTTAGCTGCTCCAAATTCTTCATCCCACCCATAGATTCAGGCAATGCACCCACCAGCTTATTCTGGCTTATATCAAACACTCTCACTTTGTCCAACAACCCTAAATTTGACGGCAGACACCCTTTTAGTCCACTGTTTATGAGTATAACTTCGTTCAATGTGTCCTTCAAATTCGCCAAGCTTGAAGGAATGCAACCCTTGAGGTCATTATTTGCCAAGACAATCACAGAGAGTGAGGAGTTGCCAATGTTTTGAGGCAATGAAAATTGAAACCTGTTATTGTTAAGGAACAATGCATCAAGTTTTAAATTGAAAAGGGCAGAGGGAACTTCACCATGAAAATTGTTGTATCTGATGTCCAAGTATTTGAGTGAATTAATGTAAAGAACAAATGAAGGAAATTGGCCTGAGAATTGGTTGTTACTGATATCCAATTCGTGAAGAAGGCGAAGGTAACGAAAGCTATAAGGAATGGTGCCGCAGAAGCGGTTAGAGTTGATGTGGAAAATGGCTAGATCAGTTAAGAGGCCAAGTTCTTCCGGCATTGAACCGGCTATGTTGGCATGGTTTAGGTCTATGCCAGCCACTGTGATGGTGTGAGGGTCATCCAGGGCTGGTGCACAGTAGACTCCGGTGTAGTTGCAAACTTGCAGGCCGCACCAATTGGCAGTGAAGTTGTTGGGGTCAGAGGTGATGACATGTTTCCATGCTTGGAGTGCTGTGTAAGCCTGTAGAAGTCTAGGGTTGGAGACTTGGTGGGAGGGTTTGAAGAGGAAGATGATAGAGAAGATGACACCGAGGGACAAAGTGAGACTTGGGTTTTTCATTTTTGAGAGCATAGCCACAGAAATGTCCTTATCTGTTGTGTGATGTTCAAGGATAGGGATTGAAGTTTATACATATGGATTTTGAGAAGTAGTCTTGACTTGTATCACACTCTAGGTAGGTAGCACAGAAGGGCTTTTTGAATTTGGATTAATTGACTTACAATTGGTCAATTAGTAGGTAACAAGAATGTTCTATCAATTTATGCAATGCACTGGCATATGCATGGCAAAGGATGGAGATGTTAATTTTGTTTCTTGTAGAGAGTCTAAAGAAGAGGGTTGGCATGAAATTGGCAACAGATGCTACCAAACACACGTTTTTTTACCAGCCCGTCTTTAAAATTAATATGTTTGCTCAAAAGTACGTGGAGAATTGTTCAACAGATTAAGATATATATATATATATATATATATATATATATATTTGCAGTTTTTCAAAGGTCTATATTTTACTGATATACTCAGACAGTGGACTGGATTGCTAAAACAAAGACTATGTCTGTGTAAAGCCTTGAGGAGGCAGATATCAAAGTCACACACACGGCAGAGCAGGTAGATTTAAAGGAAGAGAAAGTGTGTGTAGGTTTGCGAAGTCCATTCAAGCATGCTTCGTTTTCATATTCTTTTCTTTTGGGATTGGATTTGCTTGTGATATTTTCGTTACCCCAACTTGCAAGTGGAAACTTGTTGAGGAGAGGGATAGATAATCCAAGTCAAATACCAACACACAAACCAAAATCTGTATTAAGCAAACAATGATTGAAAAGTCCAAATCCAAATAAAAAAAGCCGACCATAAAGCTATAGCCCAATCTGATGCCCTAATTAACCACCTCAACCTACAATAAGTTAGCAAAAAATAGGATCATACTTGTATTAGTATATCATTTTCGAATCAATTGTTAGAAAAATATAAAGGAAAGAGAGGGAAAGACAGCAGCACTCAGAGGAGTTAGAATGTAACAATACTGAAGTCATTTTATTGAATCTATCAACTATAAAAGATGATAATAATAATAATAATACTAGCTCAGCAACCTCAGCCTTATCTTAAATATGAAATGGCTGTAAATGAATGAGGAAAAGTGGAGTGGAATTCGGGTGAAGATGAAATTTGAAATTTCATATTGCTAAAGCATTTTGCTTAAGAATTCAAGGTGAGAATTATAAATTCATGGAGAGAGTTGTGTGCGTTGAACGCTTAATCCTAAATATGAATTTGGATTTTGGACTAGACTTCGGACCCTAAACCCTGAACTCTCGTTACATAAGTAGTTTACATTTTCCTTTGCATGAACTGAAACTTAAGAATTTGTTTTCTTGGTAAGAAAAAGAAATCCGACCATGACCCATTTATTATTATCTTTTTATACAAACGATAATCTACGTTAATCTAATATAAACTATGGAGATGGAGATTCAAACTCGAGTGCAGAGTGAGAGAACATCTACTTGGCTAAGTTCATGTCTGCTAACCAATTCTTCATTGGTTCAGATCTGACATAGTATGTGTTGTAGGCTAGGGCTAAGACAAGAGATAATATTTTTGGGCAGATACGGTTAATTCTCGAAATTCTTTTGATCCACCTATACATGACTCAGATAAAACGACCGACCCATTTTTCACTTTTGAAGTCCTCGTGAAATGAAACCATGGCTCAGAATCACATTTTATTGGGTCAGCAGCTAAAACCGCAATAAAGAAAACGGAGGTTTTATTGAAGGAGACAGTAGCTTTACTTGCAGTGAGTTGCTCTCTCTTTTCTGTCCCTCTCATAAACCTTAGTGAGCAGTAAGGGTCAGTAAAGGGATAAAAGAATGACGGAAGCAGAAGGAGGCTAGAGGTAAAAGAGAAGCTTCGAGCTCCAACGCTCACTTTGGCCAACTTGGAAAATCGGGGCTTTTTTTTTATTTTTTCAATAAATAATATAACCACGCGGCTATCCTATTAATTAAAAAACAAACAAAAACACCGTAGTATAGCCCCTCGGCTGTTAAAAAAAATACAATACACATATTATACACGTACATACATATTTTTCATGTTTAATACACGTATTTTTTACAAATTTTTAATAATACACATAAAATTCAAGTATTATACACATAATTTCATGTATTATTGAATAAAAATAAAATATATTTAAATAGTATAGCCTCGCGGCTATAATGCAGTTTTTTAAATTTTTTTAAATTAATAGTATAGTCGCTTGGCTATACATTGTAAAATAATCTTATATATAAAGCAAAAGACAGAGAATGGTGAAACATTCAAAATACCATAAAATGCCCTTGGTTAATCCAAACATTAAGAATTAAAGTTATTAATTAAATGAGGATAATATGGTAAAGTCACACTTTCTCATATTTAAAAAATTAAAATTAAAATTAAAAGAAAAATCAGATAATTAATCCTATTTTTACAGAACACAGCTACCCATTATCTTTTTTAATTCTAAAATAAATTTTAATTTATAAAAATTAAATAAATAAATAAATAAAAGCCTTTCCTAGGCGCAGAAGAGTATTCCTTTTTTTTATTATTATAAATAATTATACGCGTAAAGGACCCAAATAACCCGGGAATAGCCCGTCGCCTATACTATTTTGAAAAATACGCAATAGTATCGTCGCCCGACTATACTATAGGTATAGCCGTGCGGCTATACTATTTTTAAAAATAAAAAATACAGGATAGCCGCGGGGCTATACTATTTAATTAAAAAGAGGACCAACGTGTCAAAAATAGTATAGCCACAGTATAGCCGAGCGGCTATACTATTTTTAATAAAAGAAATACCGTGAAAAATATGTATGCATATCTATCAGTTCAACAAGAATCATATATATATTCTTTAGAAAGCGTTCTTTCGATCAATTCAATCTAGTTAATTGCAGGATTGAAACAAAAGTAATTATAATTGGCGTTGGTGATGTGTTGACGTTTTATTAGTTTTGACAGCAACAAGCGGGTAAAAACGACATGCAAGAAAATAATTCCTTAATTCTTCCTCAAGTTTTAAGAGTGTATAATTACACTCTCTAAATCATTAGGGTAAAAAATTTAAGCAAATACCATGGAATGCCGTCTCTTTCTCTCATTGTTTCACCCAGGAGGAGAGAGATATGGGATCAGGCACACCAGGAACAATGTTCTAGCCTCTTCTCTGTTGGATCAAGTTAAACTTTTCCGATTAATACTGTCTTGTCTAATTAGATTAGTATTGTTCCGGCATTTTCCCCTTCAGTCCACTTGATCGATTTTTCCTGCAGTAGCTTCAAAACCTGTGTAAATGGAAAAAGGAAAAGCCAAGTATGAAGCATTGTTCAAACAGATGCAGCAAGTAATTATGAACCAATCTTACCAATATTCGCCTGCGAGATCCTTTTGAGATCTCTTCCTCTTGTGTCTCAATGATGACCTTAAGACACATGATTGCTGACGAGAAGACATCAAATAATTACAAAAAACAAGAAAGTAATTCAAAGAATAACTAGGAACATGAGAACGTTCACTTACATGAGATTCCAGAAAATGAAGAAATTTGACACTTCAAAAGACAAAGACACATCGCCTCCTTGGCACCATGCTCTTGCAAGCCAAGCACTATTTCACCTTGTGTCTCAACGTTTCTGATGACAAACACACAATAAAAGAAAAAAAATTAACATTGTGGGATCCTATACACCACCATTAACCAATATCCACAGAAAGTAGAAACACACACCACAACGAAAAGGATGCTAACCTTGTTCTAAGAATCATTTCCTTTGACTCTTCATCCACTTCGGGTGCCTTTATTGGAAAAAATTTCCCGGCCACAGAACAATAGAATCCATAAATTAATTTTAAAAAGGGAAAACAAACTATAATGCGAATTCTACACTTAAAAATTGATATCTTATATTTTTAGCTTAGATATGTGATCAAGTCTGGCTTGGTATCTGCATTAAGTGAAACTCCCCCTTGTTCAATTTTTGAAGCATGTATTTCATTTTATCCAACTGAAGAGTGTGTTTAAGTAAAGCTATTTGCAATATAGTCGTAAGATGCTATTTCCTTTTCTTTTTAAAAAAAAATTTATTTATAAATAATTCATATCCAATCACTTCATAACAGCAAGTAAGCCTTCCTTGTTCTAGAAGTTTGTTTGCTCGATCATGATCCTCCTTAGCAAATGCCTCTACAGCCTGGCAAGGAAAATTGATATCCTTACACTTGAAGGCTGCTAAGAGAAACTACTCTCCACGTTTTATAGATCAAATAATTGCAAATAAAATACTAAACCCTAAAAAGCCACATACAGCCTGGAAATATTCCTTCATTGTAGTCCGATACTCCTTCATAGCTTTACGAAAAACCTGGCGTCATCTGCATCTGCAATTTAGCACACTTTAATTATGAAAGAAAATACAAACATAAAAATGAAATTGACAGATAAATCAAGAGCAACCACACATCAAAATTAGCTAGTGCCTTAATAGGTCTATCTTTCGTACAAATCTGGATTTCATGGGAAATGAATAAAATCCAGAGAACAGTTTACCATTTACCATACAAACTGATTCCAACACTCCTATCTAAAAAAAAACCTGGGAAATGAAGTTTCCCCCATACATAGAAAAGGTTCTTCAGAAATGAGCCAAGAGTCTTTCTCAGAGAGCTGAAAGTTCTGTCATCCTGAGTTTATAAACAGAAAATGTGGTTTTGAGACATGTTTGCATAAATATAAACACATGGAGACATCAGTACACGCATTTTTTTTTAATAAAAAAATAATCATAAATAAAGGAAGAGAGAGAGAGAGAGAGAGAGAGAGAGGGGTAGTACCTGCTTCTTCTTTTTCAAGGACTCTTCCAGTTTAGCAATTTTATCAGTACAAGCTTTCTCATGCTCAGATATCAGACTCCTTTCTTTCTTTCCTGACATGACATCAATCCATCAGAAAATTTTGGTGTATTTGATTTCACTATAAGGAGGAGTAAAGGAGTTTTGTTGCTTACTCAGTTGTTCATATCGTGTGCAGAGCCTTTCCTTCTCTTCTTCGTAGTTGGAAATGAAGTCTGTCAAATAGAACAACAATGCTCAACAGAGTCGATGGGTTATATTAGCTAATAATTGCAAGGCCTGTTCTGCAGTTTTGATATGATGCTCTTAAATTTTACTTATTACTGGAAAATGGAGCCAAACTAAAGGAGCTACATGCATAAGATGACAGTCGACAATGTCATGTTCTGTGTGCAGAGTAATAAAAAGCAGAGGCTTCGTATCCATAAATCCGAAACCGAAATTGTGCAGACAAAAATGCTAGTTGCTGATAAGAAACTTTGCTAAATCACTATGTGCAGACAAATAAGCTAGTTGCTGATTAGGTAAATACCTATCCAATTGAATTTATGCTATTAATTACACTTACAATCCAGTTACACAGAAACGCTTAATAGTATGAAGAGAAATCAGATGCAATTACAAGATTTGGAAACTGTAAGGACTACCTTTCAAGGCCTGTAGATATTGGGCTTGGAACTTGGCAGTTTCAGTCTTCAAGCAATTCTCACACTGCAGACATATATTATATATAACCAAATTATTAATCAGAATAAAAATTTTGGGCATCAAACAAATTAACTAGAAATTCAAATTTCTCCGCAAGGTCATCCATGGTTTACCTCTTTTCTTCTCCTTCGACAGACCTCTTTTGAGCTCTTCGAAAGAGATTTAGCGAAACTTTGTCTGACAATTGAAGAATACAAAAGGCATAAAATCCAAATGCCTAAATAGTAGCTGTTTGAACATTTCATATAAAGCTTAAAAATAGATGGTTCATTAGGTTTCTCTAAATTAAATTAAAGATTCATAATGTAAATTATATCAGAACTAACGCAAATAAGCAAGCAATTGTACCTTCAATTTTCAGAGTTTATTGCAATCTGTAAACGAAATGGAAAACAAAGCAATAAAACAAGGACAATCGAATTAATCTCGCAAAGAAACAACTCAACGGTATTCGAATTTCGGCGATAATCAAACTGGACCAGACCGATATGATTCGGCTCACCTTGAAACGGTCTCTTCGTTCTTCTTAAGCCCGTCCTTGTGAGCTTTCTCTCGGATCTGGTGCAGTGCCGACATAATTCCTTTGATATCACTGTAAAATTCAACCATAATCTCGATCTCATAATTTCATCCACAAATCTACGAGAAACAAAAAAGATCAAGAAGAAATTATAGGAAAACGAACTTGGAGAGGTCGAGATCGAGGTGATCCGATTTGGCGAGCTGAGGCTCGGTCCTGCGCTTCTTGCTACTCGCTTTGGCGGTCGACATTGTTATTAGGCTTCCAAATTATAAAAAACCGTTTTTTAAATGTTAAAATAGTAAAACCATTTTTTTTTCTTTTTCTGAAAATAATAAAACCTTCTAAGTGAGGACGCAGAGTCCGTGTTGTACCAGAATTCCTATAGACGTTAGGGTTACGCAGCCCACTGAAGCCTATATAATGACCCCGTCTCTTTTCTCTCATAATTTACCCTAAATCCCAATTTACGCAGCCCAAGCGGCAGTTTTAGTTTTCCCCTTCCGAGCAAACACAGTCATGGACGGCGGCCTTGTGTCTCCACTTTTGCAAATCCACCGGCCAAAGCCAATCAGTATGTTTTTCCTTTTTCGTTTAATTTAAGGGTTTGTGATGAAGATGATGTGCAATTTAATTATATGCCTTAGATTTTGTGTATGATAAATTCCCCTCGCTTTGGTTCTAGTAGAATTTCGAACAATATCCCACCACCTCTAGATGTTAGGTGGAAGCATGTTGCATATGACATTTTCTCCATGTATCATTGTGTGCTCTGGTAAAATCAAAGTGTTGTTTTAATATTATTTTTGTTGGTCTAATTATAGAGGATATATATTATGCCAAAATTTTGAATCGGTTTTTGAGGATAATTTTTTCCATTTAAGTTATTTTGGTATGTAGATGATATTTAATAATATTGTTATTTGTTGATGGATGTCATTCCTTCTAACTTCTTTGGCATCTTCACCTTTCTTCTTTTGTATTTAACAATGTAATTGCATGAAAACAAGTAGCAAGCCTTTGGAAGAACTTATTGGTAAATTTTTTATTTTAGGGACAAAGAAAAAAAGAAAAAAGTGCGCCTACATCTTCTCTATTTACATATATTTGTTTTTTTTAATCTCTTATGACATAACATCTATGTTATGCCAAATTTTTTTTTTTTGGTCTGAACCACGAGGTGGTCCTGGATGGGCTCCAACTATGGATGGCACCTTTAAGCCTTAACCACAACCCAGACTAATCCCCGCTCACACCGGGTCGGCCCGTAAGGAGTAAAGTGCTGGCCAAAGTGGTGACTCCATACAAGAGCAGGGATCGAACCCCTGACCTCTCTTAAGGAATGATAGTGCCGAACCACTCACACCAACCACCTTGGTTATGTTATGCCAAATTTTGATTCAGTCTTTGAAGATTTTTTTTTTTTCTCCAGCCAATTTATTTTGGTGTGTGCGTGATGCATAGCCGATATTTAACACTATCGTTATTTGTTGATGGGATCATAAATGTCATTCCTTATAACTTCTTTGACATCACCACCTTTTTTCTTTTTGTATTTAACAATGTAAATGCATGGAAACAGGGAGCAAGGGTATTGAATCAAATATTGTTGAATCAAAGGCTGTTGAATCCGAGGTTGTTGAACTTAATGGTAAGCTTTTGATTTTAGGGACAAAGAAAAAAAATGCGCCTACAACTTCTATATTTACATATATTCCTCTTCTTCTTTTTTAATCTCTTATGACATAACATCTATACTATGCCAAAATTTTGAATCAGTTTTTGAAGATGATTTTTTCCAGCCAAGTTATTTTGGTGTGTGCATGATATAGCCGATATTTAATAATATCGTTATTTGTTGATGGGATCATAGATGTCATTCCTTCTGACTTCTTTGACATCATCACCTTTTTTCTTTGTGTATTTAACAATATAATTGCATGGAAACAGGTAGCAAAGCTGATGAATTTGAGATTGATGAATCGGAGATTGATGAATCTGAGATTGATGAATCGGAGATTGATGAATCGGAGACTGATGACTCGGAGGCTGATGAGTCGGATTCTGAAAAACTTATTGGTAAGCTTTTGATTTTGGGGACCAAAAAAAATCTCTTATAACATCTATGTGTTTGTTGTTATTTTATGTAATGTGCCAACAATACTGATTTTTTAGTTTTATCATCTTCATTCATTCATTGTTTTAAAAATAATAATAATAATAACTTATTCTTTTTATTGCTTTTATTGTATTTAACAATGGATCAACATATTGCACACAGGTCGTGAATGTCAGTTTTGTTTAAAGGTGGGTGATCACTTCTCACAAACATGCTCATACAGGTGTCATGTCCCAAAGAACGCAATTGTTGGCAAGAGGTGTGTGGTAGTTTGTAATTTGTGTGGTTGCCTCTTTAGAGACTCATGTTGTGGCATTTGTGGCCAAAGTGATGGATTTGCAATTCTTATGAACTGTTTACATTGTGGGAAGATAGGTGAACACTTGATGTCTATGTGTCCGAGCCGCGAGGGGAAACCTTCTTGTTTTTCTTTGGACCCTTATACTGGTTCTGTTATTTCCATTTAAGTGGTAGAGAATGGAGAGTTAATGGTACTCTAAAAGTTAAAGCAAAGATTAAATGTTAATTTCAAATTCAACAAATTTTTAGAATTTTCATTTTAAATGTTTTTAAATAATTGTAATCTTCGTAGACTTGTAGAGTAACTCACTTTATGAGTAGATCTCCTGCAATATTTAATTTGACTCCTACATGTGGCCCTGTATCCCTATGTTGTATGAGATTGACTGCATACACCAATAAATCACCCAAGTTTTAATTGTACTTACTGGTTCTCTGTCATCTGCTGCTCAGGTGGAATTTGAGCCACCTTTTCCTCCTTAGGTGTACCCTTTTTCTTGTTGCTCTTTTTATCCTCTTTATCCTTCCAACTCTCTACTCTGTTCTTCCAAATTGGGCTCCCATAGTCATCATTTAATTCTTCAAAGATAACAAAATAAGATAATTATAAAATATAAAAAAACGAGACAAGGGACTAAATCAAGCAAGAAACAGAAATATGACTGACCACTATCCACTGCAGACACATTGCTGACGTGCCTAGCATGAATTCCGATATCCTGCTTAAACAAAGAAAAAAATTCGCAAGCTGTAAGAAACCTAATATTCTTAAACACACTGAGTATAAACAAAATATTAACTCATTTTAATGAATCTATCAACTATAAAAGATAATAATAATAATAATAACAATAGTACTAGCTCAGGAACCTCAGCCTTATCCTAAATATGAAATGGCTTTAAATGAATGAGGAAAAGTGGAGTGGAATTGGGGTGAAGATGAAATTTGAAATTTCATATTGCTAAAGCATTTTGCTTAAGAATTTGAGGTGAGAATTATAAATTCATGGAGAGAGTTATGTGCGTTGAAAGCTTAATCCTAAATATATATTCGGATTTTGAACCCTAAATTCAAATCCAAAGGTCTACACCTAAATTATGGATCACAAACACAAACTTTCTATACAAACGATAATCTTTTTATACAAACGATAATCTATGTTAATCTAATATAAACTACGGGGAGGGAGATTCAAACTCGGGTGTAGAGTGGGAGCACATCTACTCTAGCCAACTTGGCTAAACTCATGTCTGCTAACCGATTCTTCATTGGTTCAGATTCTGACATAGTAAGGGTTGTAGGCTAGGCCTAAGACAGGAGATAATATTTTTAGGCCGATACGGTTAATATTCTCGAAATCCTTTTGATCAACTTATAAATGACTCAGATAAAACGACCGACCCATTTTTCACTTTTGAAGTCCTCATGAAATGAAACCATGGCTTAGAATCACGTTTTATTGGGTCAGCAGCTAAAAACGTAATAAAGAAAACGGAGGTGTTATTGAAGGAGACAATAGCTTTACTTGCAGTGAGTTGCTCTCTCTTTTCTGTCCCTGTCATAACCTTAGTGAGCAGTAAGAGTCAGTAAAGGCATAAAAGAATGGCGGAAGCAAAAGGAGACTGGAGGAAAAAGAGAAGCTTCAAGCTCCAATGGTCACTTTGGCCTCCTTGGACAATCGGGGTTCTTTTTATTTTTTCAATAAATAATATAACCATGCGGCTATATTGGATTCCTTTTTTTAAATAAATAGGCTATACGATAGCCGCTCGGCTATACTATTGATAGATAAAAACGCAAGCGCCAAGTCACAACAAGTATAGCCGTTCGGCTATACTATTTTTAAAAAAATAGAAAATACCCGAGTATAACCGCGGGGCTATACAATTTAATTTAAAAAGGGACCAATATGTCAAAAATAGTATAGCCGAGCGGGTATACGATTTTTAATAAAAAAAATACCGTAGTATAGAAGAATTACTGTCAAAACTATGTATGTATATCTATCAGTTCAACAAGAATTATATATATATTCCTTAGAAAGCGTTCTTTCGATCAATTCAATCTAGTTAATTGCATGGTCGAAACAAAAGTAATTATAATTGGCATTGGTGGTGTGTTGACGTTTTATTAGTTTTGACGGCAACAAGTGGGCAAAAACAACATGCATGGAAATAATTCCTTAATTCTGCCTCAAGTGTTTATAATTACACTCTCCAAATCATTAGAGCAAAGCAATTTAAGCAAATACCATGGAATGTCATCTTTTTCTCTCATTGTTCAGCTCAAGAGGAGAGAGATATGGGATCAAGCACACCAAGAACAACGTTCTAGCCTCTTCTCTGTTGGATCAAGTTGAAAAGAGCCTGCTTTGAGGCCCAAATAAAAGGCCTTGTAGTGATTTAATTTGTATTTGCGATAAGTGTGTCACTGTTAGAGCTTAGGCTAAGCCCAACAAAAAGAGATTAATTTGCCCTTGTAATGTGACTTCTAATCAAGTCATTGTGCTCTTAATGGGGAACTGGCTCAAATTTAACTAAAAGATACAATATAAGAATGAAGACTTCTTGATTCAATCCATTTTAATTGGAAATTTAATGGAATACATCTAGTAAACCTATAATCTGATAAGTAAATGCAAAGAGGAATGAACCAGCCTAGCAATTAGGACTCGACACCAAGCTTTGGGTTTGGCTTTATTTATAGGCTCCTTAGTTCTTGAAATTGCATGCTTTGGTGAAGAGATGGTTGATTTGATTATGTGTTAGTCTTTTCTTTGTGGTTTAAACTGGTAAACCAGTACATTGATTTCTGCACTGTTGATAGTGGCTTGTCCAGACATGGCCTTTTCTTCAACGAGTTGGCGTAGTATAGCTTCATGTTTCAGTCCAAAATTTGTAGGAAGCAAACAATGATTGAAAGTCCAAATCCAAACACAAAGCTATACCCCAATATGTGCCATAATTAACCACCTCAACCTACAATTTTATTGCTATGTCTGGTTGCAAGTTAGCAAAAAATAGGATCATACTTGTATTAGTATATCATTTTCTAATCAATTGTTAGAAAACTAAGATAAAATAAAGGAAAGAGATGGAAAGACAGCAGCACTCAGAAGAGTTAGAATGTAACAATACTAAACTCATTTTATTGAATCTATCAACTATAAATAATAAAAATTAAAAATTAAAAATAAAATAAAAAACTAGCTCAGGAACCTCAGCCTTATCTCAAATATGAAATGACTTTAAATGAATGAGGAGAAGTGGAGTAGAATTGGGCTGAAGATGAAATTTGAAATCTCATATTGCTAAAGCATTTTGCTTAAGAATTTAAAGGTCATAATTATAAATTCATGGAGAGAGTTGTGAGCATTGAACGCTTAACCCTAAATATGTGTTCGGATTTTGAACCCTAAATCCGAATCTAAAACTCTACACTTAAATTATGGATCACGAATAAAAACTTCATATTTAAATTCGACTTGGACTAGACTCTAGACCCTAAATTCTAAACTCTCGTTACACAAGTAGCTAGGCCAGGCCCACAAAGTGTGTGGGCTGGGCAACGACATAGGGCCCTAAAAAAATGGGGCTTCTTATAAAACCCTATAACCAATAGAGTTATAGTAGCAAAAAAGACCTTTTATATGTGTAACTGATGCTTTTCGGACTTTATTCTAAAAAAATTTGGGTCTTTTTCTTTACTTTTCATATAGTGAGTCTCTTTTACATAAACTAACAAACTTAGCACTTAAGCATGAAACTTTTAATTTTAATTTTGTTCAAAATGAGGTAAATGTTGATTAAAATCTCAATTTTTATTTTTGCCCAGAACCATCCAAATCAATGGACAGGCCATGTAAATAGGGTAAATTTCCTTTGCATGAACTGAAAAAAGAATTTGTTTTCTTGGTAAGAAGGAGGAATCGGATCCTGACCCATTCTTTATTTGTTCAGATCGTTGGCTGGGCTTAAGACTGGAGATAATATGTTTGGGCCTATACGTTTAATTCTCAGAATCCTGTCCATCCAATTAGCATGAACCGGATAAAACGGCCCGACCCATATTTCACTTTTGAAGTCCTGATGAAACGAAACCATGGCTCAGAATCACGTTTTCTTGGGTCAGCAGCACAAAAACTTATCGAAGGAACCGGAGGTTTTATTGAAGGAGACAGGAACTTTACTGGCAGTGAGTTGCTCTCTCTCTTTCTGTCCCTCTGATAAACCCTATTGAGCTGTAAGAGTCAGTAAAAGCATAAAAGAATGGCGGAAGCAGGAGGATCAGATAAGCCGGGCGCATCGGCAGGAGGGGGAGTTGAGTCGCTGAAAGATAAAGGAAATGAGCATTTCAAAGCAGGGAACTATCTCAAGGCCGCTGCACTCTACACTCAGGCCATCAAGCAAGACCCTAACAACCCCACTCTTTATAGGTACATATATTTACCGCCTCAAAAATTATTTTTGTTTTATTTGTTGGTTTTCTAGTTTTAAATTTGACATGGGATCAAAATGCCATTTTGATTGGTTGGCCACACAGTTTACTTGAATTATTCACCTGGGTTCTTATTGAATTTGAATTATTTTGTTAATTATTTCGGTATGGACATGTTTTGTCATGAATTTAATAAGTAGGAATTTAAAGTTGTGTGCTTTCGTTTATGTAGAAAACAGATGAACTTTTTCTGTTGTTCACTTTGTTTATGTGTGTCCTTTTGAACGCTCCCAGGAGAAAGTTGGCATCTTCATTTCATAATTTGCACATTGCTTATTATGATGCCTAGGCTGCATGAGTATTCTTTTATCCTATTTTCCGCTCCACGGCTACGGCAGCATTTTGTAGATTGTATGAACTTCGAAGTTACATGAGGTTCAGAGCTGATATACAAGCTTGTTTGTAATTTAGATTTAACCATGGTTATGGTATTCAGAAGCAAAAAAAATTCCCTTTCCACCTTACCAGAAGAAATTCAGGCACTTTGGTACTTAAGATTTATATTCTTTCTTTTTTCTTTTTTTTTTGGTATAAATTTTTTAAGTGAACTAAGATGAGATGATGGTGGCTTCAACGGGCTGGAATAGATGCCCTTTTTTGCCTGCACTTCGGTGGCATAAAAATTCTACATTCTGGAATATTTGAGCTAAGAAATGGAACTGTTTCCTTATAGAAGGTTAGATTTTGGCTTATTTGTGTGGAAAAGTATTCTGAGATCTTATGTAATTTGAAGTTTATAGAAGAAAGTAAGGCCATCAGGAATAAAAAGGGATATAACTGTATTAAAAAAAACTTGTTGGGGCAAGAATATCTACTTTGGTACCACATTCGGGCTGTCTAAGTCTGATTATGGCCTTTTTATTTCCAACTAATGGATTTGGATAAAACCTGTCCATTATGTCAAATCCTATAGTTGGTGTCATGGTCTGCAATGTACAATTCTTGCTTCAATTGCTACCACATTCATATTCTTTTTAGCATTAGTTAAAACAAAGGGCTGCTCTGTGAAAAAATGTAGAGAAATCATATGGTAGCTAGGACTGATTTGTGAATGGGTTGGTGCGCCTGCTGCTTTCCCAATTGCAGAATGATAATCAGTCAACTTTCTTTATGTATATTCTTCAATATTTTGTTTATATGCTAATATTGTTTCTCTTGCTCACTGGTATGTAAGGATGTTCATGCAAACATGGAAGGTTGTTCATAAAAAGTAGATAGTAGTAATAAACAATTACAATTTTCAAGGAACAAGCTGTCTTGGCTGAACTTTCCCATGTAACATTGTATGCATGCTGTACTGATGCATTTCCTTTCATTTTAATGTTCCATTGTTGGCCAGCAACCGCGCTGCGGCATTTTTGCAATTGGTTAAGCTTAGCAAAGCCCTTGCTGATGCAGAGACCACAATTAAATTGAACCCCCAGTGGGAAAAGGTAATGTTGTTTTATTTTTCTTAAAAAAATTCCTTTTCTTCTCAACAAACTTTTACTTTTAGAAAGCAAAATATCTTGATTTTCATTATTTCTTCCTTTAAAAGAACCTTTTTGATGCATCTACAGGGATATTTCAGGAAAGGATGCATATTAGAGGCCATGGAACAATATGATGATGTATGTCTAGAAGTTCTTTCACTCTTCCCATTGTTGTTGAAGGCCTTTTGGACAAGACCGCATGATTTTAGTTTTCTGCTACTGATATTCATACTGTTCATCACATGTTGTAGGCTTTAGCTGCTTTCCAAACAGCTTTGCAATATAACTCACAAAGCACAGAAGTATCAAGAAAGATAAAAAGGATTTCTCAGTTGGCGAGAGATAAAAAACGTGCTCAGGAGGTGGAGAAAATGAGATCCAATGTTGATATGGCAAGACAATTGGATAAACTGAAATCTGAAATGGTGAGTGCATTGGCCAATCAAGGATTCATGATTCTCTATGACTTTTGTTCCATATTATTCTGCATTTTATATGGCGTATATTATCTTTGTGCTTGAGTGAGAAATATTATCTCTCAGTCATTTTTCTACGTTATTCTTTGTTTGTATCTGCTTTTTCTTTCTTTGCCTGAATGGTGTGACTTGCAACTTTCATATATCAAGTTTCCTTAACTCCCTGAACTGTGTATGCGGGTAAGATATTATTCATAATTTCTCAGCAGCTTATATAGAGACTTTAATGGATCACCTGCTCTTGAATTGTTTCAAATTTCAATCAGTCCTAATAAGAAGGATTAAGTCACTCTTTCTCTTTTGCAGTCTGGGAAGCGTGGATCTGAAGAATGTTGGGAAGACATGTTTGCTTTCCTCGTTGAGACAATGGAGACAGCTATAAAATCATGGCACGAAACTTCTAAAGTGGAGGCTAGAGTTTACTTTCTCCTAGATAAGGAAAAAACAGACACCGAGAAATATGCTCCAGCTGTGAATATTGATAAGGTATTAAATTTAGATCTTTCACTTTTCAAAATATCCCTTTTCTGATTGATTGAAAAATAATTTCAATGTATTTGGTTATATGACCCCTTCTTTGCTGTTTAGATAAAACGAGTTATTGCAACCTCATCAGATTATTACCTCATATTAAGTATATGTTTTTTGAGCCATAAACCATTATTCTGAAATTGTTTTTACCTAATCAATGCTTACCTGTTATTCCAGGCCTTTGAATCACCCCATACGCACAGCAGTTGTTTTTCATTTCTTAGGCAGTATGCTGAGGACTCTTTCTCCAGAGCAGCTTGTTTGGTCACTCCCAAAAGTATCATGTCTTATCCACAGGTACATTTAACTTCAAGTTGTGTCTCACATGCCTAAGTCTCTGTATCCCTGCGTGCATTGTATTTGTTTGTGTTCAAGATTTGAGTTAATATTTGGAGGTTTGACCTCTGGTGTGGGTTCAAGACTTCAAGTTGTGCTTTGTGTGCTTAAAAGGCTTTTGCATGGTGATTTGCATGGTGCTTTTGGGCAGTTTAAGTAGTTATTATTGGTCTCTTTAAAAAAAAAAAAAAAAAAAAAAAAAAGGAAAATAGTCGATTGATCTGTTTCAGATTTCACTAGCTGTTACTGGTCCTCCATGTGATAAATTCAACTTAAATTCGCAGATGATTTAAATTCAGGGCAGAGTGATGACTTATTGAATAAAAGGAATTTTTAGTTAACAAAGAGGTTTTAATCATCAAATACTTTTTGCAGGTTTGGAAAGGTCAGGGATCAAGGAAATGGAAACATGGGCAACATGATGGTTTCTTTGTTCAATTTGAGACCCCTTTCCTGCGAAAGCTGTGGTTTATTCCTAGTTCTAGTGAACTAGGCCAGACATTGTGCAGGTCTATCTCTCTCTCTCTCTTTCTCTCTCTCTCTCTCTCTCTCTCTCTTCTCTCTCTCAGTGTCAATTTGTAACTATGGATGACTTTTTTAACTTGATTTTTAAAAGTACCAAGAATGCTTCATCAGTACTTAGGTTATACGTGATGGTTACATTTCTTACCACCTTGATGCTTTAGTTCTAATGTTGTGTTCTCTCTTTAAAGTGCAAAGCCGTAGAAATATGGTCCCTTTTGCTTTTAAGAGAATGAAGAAATGGAAACTTTGAAAGCATATGGATGTGGAAATACCAGTAGGAAGTGGGTTTTTATGTGTTTTAATGTTTGTAAGATGCTGGAAGGAAAATTTCAGGGAAGCAGGCTCAGTGGGCTTGCTCACTTAATATTGTCTAAATAACCTATTATACAAGACCTTGCTGTCGGAATATATGATCACAGCAACAACAGAGTTTTTATATTTGGTATTATATTTCCTTTAGGAGCTAGGTAATCTAAATGTTTGTGCCTCATTCAGGGATCCGGAGGATTTAGACATCGGTGCCCATGAATTGATTCCACGCCTATTCAAACAGTACAATTCATAGATGCCTGTATTTGCATTTTGGAGGAAAATCTCAGGCCCATTTTAGCGAGAGATACAGCCTTGGTGACAGTCTTTTGCCTCATTTTGCAAGGTTTTCTTTCACCCTGGTAATTTGCAGGATGGTGCTTTTCATAATCATAACATGCATTTACTCGAGGTTCTGTTTCTTTCTAAAAAAATTCAAGCCTTTTTGTTTTGAGTGGTTGAATTTTACCGAGAGATTCCTTAGTGTGAGGTTGTTTATCCTGTTTTTCCGATGTAACGAGTAGTTTGGCCCTTGAATTAAGTTGGGTTGTTTCCAATAACTACTCTGTGTCTGTTGCTTATACAGTGAAAACTTGAAATTAGGTGCCAGTTTATTTTGTAAAATTCTAAACAGCAATGTAACTGTTGAATAGGTCATCTATTTTGTTATTAATGCATGAAAGTTATATCATTGCTGCCCATTATGCTATATGTATGGATGGAATTTTAGTATTCTAATGTGAGTTACACAATTGTTCAAATTTTGTATATGGATGCATAATCCATGTTATGACATTTCTTTATGCAAAAATCATTATGAAGATCTGAAACCCAGGATATGGACAAAAAGGGATACTTGCTTCAAACGAAATCACTTTCCAGTTATAATTCCAAAGCAACTAGCGTCTGTGGTGCTTCTTGTTTCTTGTATTTTATGGCGTGTTATGTTTGTAATATGTTATACTTCTATGTCAGGATTTGTTCCTTTTACTTGCCATGCAAATACCCAATTATTTTATTTAGAAGTATCTGCCATGCCTGATTTGAGACATGAGAAGGATTAGGAAGAGCAGTTGGAGCATTAGAGAGAAGCAATTGATTCTAATTAGAGACATTACAGGAGGTGCTGGGGACAGAGGAAAACCAAGCCACTAAAATCTCCACAAACCACATGCCTCGAATATCATCTACATTTTTCATAATCTCAATTTAGTGTAATAATAATACATAAGCTTAATTCTTATTATCTCCCTAGCTATGCCTTCATCTGCAAGGAAACCCTCATTTCTCCCACCTGTGGATCAATCAATCAAGTTACATATATAGCGGTTCTCTTTCTGTCAAAGGCGGCTGCCATACATATAATTGAGGTCATACCCATTTTAGTATCAAAAACTTTCACCCCTTGATTGATCATCACAGATTAGACATTGTCATCTTTTCTGTTTACCTCAATTTCTCCTGGATTGGGTTTGCAGGTGTGCAGCATGAAGTTACATGCTGATACAGCCTCTCCCACTGTAACATAAATCCATTCCTGACCAATTTTCTCGATGAACTTGGATTTCTCAAGCTTCTTAATCACCTCGCTTCGAGGGTTTGCTAATACAAGCTGATAGATCAAAAGAAAGAAGGAGAAGAATATAAATATAAGCACATGATCAAACAAACATATGAACTAAACTGCCCAACAACACTAGTCAACCATAGTCCATTATAAAAGCTTGAAAGAGTTGGAAGTGATATGTAGTTTCATACCTTGAGACCCTTTATGTCAACATTTTTCTTGACCTCTTCAAGCATGCTGATCCCACTGGTATCAATGCTGCCTACAGCTGAAATTTGATTTTAATTTTAGCAAGAGTAATTATAAAGGTCAGTGCAGGAAATAAATTTCAATTTGTGACTGCTGCAGAATGATCACTTACTGCTAAGGTCTAGTATAACATAGTGTAAGCTTGTTTCTCCAGAAGATTTTAGCTTGTCTTCCTCCTCATATATCCATCTTGAGATCCTGAGAACCGAGATTTTAAGCAAAGGTTAATACTCTACAATGCTTGACGATAATATGTTTTTCGTAAATTTCTTTTCTTAATTGTGCACTTCAAGTTTACCTTTCCCGTAAATAGTTTGCATTGGCAAAATAGATGGGTGCATCAATTTGAAGAATGAGAATTCCTGGAATGTTGTTTGCATCTGGGTATTGATCAATGCTTCTGTAAATCGATGAGTTTGGAATGTTGCCTAAAGTAAAAGTCCTTGGCCTAGCTACAAATAGCAGCACCCTTAGCATGGAAACTGTAACCTGCATATCCAATATATCAATCAGAAATGTCTACGCAACACTTTTTTCTTATGACAAAGAAAATAAAAGAAAATATGTGTCTACTTACTGCAATGACTAGGCCAATCTCAACACTGCCAAAGACAACACCAACATATGCACCTAGGCACACAATGCAGTCCACCTTGTCTACTTTCCAGAGGTGGATTACAGCTTCATAATCAATGAGGCCAAGCATGGCGGCCATTATAATGGCGGAGAGCACCACAAGTGGAGTGTAGTGGAACAATGGCGTCAAGAACAACAGTGTGAACATCACTGCAGTTGCCATTACAATATTCGACACGGCAGTCTTGCATCCTGCATTGAAGTTCACAGCACTTCTCGAAAATGGTCCTGCAAGTGAAAATCAGTCATGAATATGGATTAATGGTTCAGGTGACAACACAATCACAGTCTAACAAGAGAACATTTCCTATTATCTACATTTCAGAGCTGTATGTACCGGCAGTCAAGTAGCAAGAAGTGCAAGAGCCTGCAATGTTCATCATTCCGAAAGCGATCATTTCTTTGTTACCATCAATGTGGTAGTTCTTGAATGCGGCGAAACTTCTTCCAACAGCTACTCCTTCCTGCAAATTCACCACCACAACCCTAGCAATGTTAGCCTAAACCCTCCCTCATTGTATTGATGGTTTGGGATGCAGTTAGTGAGTTATGAGTGAGATTTGAGGAGTTTGGGGGACTTACAGCAAGGCCTATGACACCAGTGATTATCCCAGTTTTAATGGCTGTTGTAAGATATGGTGACCCAAAGGCAAGCTCAGAAATAGATGGTGGGTTCAACCCTTTCTTAAGGTGCCCAATCTGCAAAAACAAAGCAAGCCTGTCATTATAAAAAATAAAATATAAAAAATAAAATATAAAATATAGTGCCTCTAATTAGCCTCAAGTGCGTTATACATATTAATAATACTATTTGCATCACATTTACAAACGATCATCAATATATTCAGTAAATATGGTACAAATAGCATCACTGTACATATATGTTAGATGAAGAGTGAGATACTTACTACTTGAACGCCATGTTTTTCAGCATGGGTTACAAAAACCAAAATGCTTCCCAGGATCACTGAGCACAGTGGGGCCATTGCGTTTATCCAAAAGAAGGCTGGTTTTCTCTTGCTCTAATTGTCATCAACATAAATTCATCACCATAAGTACAAAAGCTAATATTTTACTGGAAATATAGCAATGTTAATCTCAACATAAAGAATTGTCATTCCTAAGTCCACAAAATAAATAAAATAAACAGGTATGAGGATGGAAATGGTAATAGTTTTATTCCCTGAATCGGGTTTGGGAATGGGAATTGGCATTCCGCCCATCCCACCTTATTTGATATTTTTATTGCATCATAAAATTTTGAGTGTTTTAATGTTTTTAAATTAAAATAAAAAATAAAACGCCAACTGGGTATATCATAGTTTAAAAGAAATGAACTTCATCTAAATGTTAATTATTTCACTAATATCTTTCGTTGAAGAAAAGTTACGCAAGGGAACGTAAAGATAAGGACAACTCACTATAAATTTCTTGAATATTTTACTTTCTCTATGGCTCCAACTTTTGTTTTAAAAAAATCTATACTATTTATAAATGCTAAATTCACTAAAATTGTGAAGCATCGAAATTTAAGTCGTAACAGTTGTGTTTTTTTTTCGTTCTAATTTTGTATCATTATGTTATTAGACTAGGAATTTGAATAATTGATTCAGTTGCTTATTGTCTAATACGTGACATACATATTCAAACTGTCTCACATAATCATTTGCAACTTTTATTGTGTCCGAAGAGATCACAAATATAATCCCTTATATTGGGGAAACAAAGTAATTCAACAAGAATCATATATATTTCCTTAGAAAGCGTTCTTTCGATGAATTCAACAAACTTTTTTTTGACTCAAGAGATCGAGTTAATTGCATGGTTGAAACAAAAGTAATTATAATTGGCGTTGGTGGTGTGTTGACGTTTTATTAGTTTTGACAGCAACAAGTGGGTAAAAACGACATGCATGAAAATAATGCTTAATTCTTCCTCAAGTTTAAGATATTATAATTGCACTCTCCAAATCATTAGAGCAAAGCAATTTAAGCAAACACCATGGAGTGCCATCTACTTACAAAGTATCTTGTGAGCAGGAGAAAGAAGAGGAAACAGCATCCCAGCACAGCACTTTCCCACCTCCACTGCATCATAAACCAGCCATGATATAATATTTTAATGTTCATAAAGGCAAACATATATAAAAAGGTGACAAATTTTTAGATTAGATTAGATTAAAAAGAGAATATATATACCTGGTGCTCTTGGGAAAAGATAGATTTCATGACAGATACAATATCAGTCTCATGAGTGAAGTGAACCAACCCAAGTACCCCTTTAAGCTGCTGAAGACAGACAACAGTGGCTGCTCCACCCATGAAACCCACTATTGTTGCATGAGACAGAAAGTCCACGACAAACCCAAGTCTGCAAATATACATACAAAACATCATTTCAGAAATTAAAGAGAGGGTGCTTCTTGCTTGGTCTTTTTTTATCAAAACTTAATGTATACCTTAAGAGGCCAAGAGAAGCCTGAAAAGCTCCAGCAAAGAAGGTTGATGTGAGAGCCAGCTGAACATAGAGCTTAGGGTTCTCAGTAGGGCTAACCACCTTCCCCAACATAGAAGATATGAGAAGCGATGCAACCGCCACGGTACCAACTGCCAAATCCTTTGAGCTTCCCAGCATGGCATACACCAATGGAGGCACAAAACTCGAATCTGCATTTATTTTCAAAAAAAATAATTTCACATTTGTCTTTTGCAAACAAGAGAGTTTGGCAATATGAGATACTAATGATGTTAAACTGTGAATCCGAATCATCATTCATATTGATTCTTGCCTGAATGTATAACTCAGATTCAGAGTTGAACAACATAAGTATTTGTATGACAAGAAAACATTGCCCTATAATATATGCATGTATATAGCATATGATTTTTGATTTCCAATAGATCTGGATACTTACATAGGCCAATAATTGCGGGCAGGTTGGCCAAGTTTGCATAGCTTATCCCTTGAGGAACTGCAAGACTGGCAATGGTGATTCCGGCAATGAGATCAGATTTGAAGAAGTCAAAGGTGTAGCGAGGAGCCCATTCGAGGATGGGCACAAAGTGCTGCAAACCCAGCACAAGTTTTCTAGACGTGGGCTGGTTCTTAAATTGCCTGAAAGGGTCATCAGGAAAGAAAGTCTCTTTTAGAGATGATTTCAGGGCCTTCAAAAATGGTTTGGCTGGAGGAATTTCAACGCGGTGTGGGCATTCATAATCTGCGTTACCCATTTCACCTCAGAAAAACACTTGAGCTAACCAGAGGGAGCTAATTAAGGAGCTAGATGATCAAGGTTAAAATGCTTAGTTAGCTCTAGCAATGAAACTCTTGGCGAGCTGGGGGTATTATATAAGGTGGTGAATGTGTTACTTAAGAGGGAAATATGGAGGGAAGGATCTTTGAGTGCGTAGCGGGACCCACATGTGGACTCAATATTTTCCCAATGACTACAGAAAGTTTAATATGCATTTTAAATGAAATGCTGCAGTTAGGAGGGATCACGTCCACTTCGGGCTGAAGTGTGGCTCCTTCTATGTTTGCTAAGACAGTGCTCACTTCTTACATCTAAATCTAAAATGATTAGCTGTTATTGAGTTTAGTCTATGCGGTTTTTATTTTAGATGTAGATTTTTTGACATTTATTACACTTTTATATGTCTTGCACATCTGATTTTAGCTAAGTTATGCTATTTTACACTGTCACACGACTCGAACAACTCCATAGAATTTTTTTTCCTCTAACTACCACCACCTTGTTGCTTATTAGGCTCTTGGTCAGCAGCTCTCGACATCGATCACAAATTGCAGCAGCTCACCACTAGGAATATGTAGTACACGTGGTGCATTGTCATTGGGTTGGAGAGTCGTCAAGCTCTACACATGTGTTAGGTCACTGATTTGAGGGACCTGAGTTGGAGGTTTAGATTTAGAGAAGATCCGCAAAAAATAATATAAAATTAGCACTTTTGGAAGTTGAGGATACAATAATTCTTGAACCCCATTATCATATGATTATTAGTCACTGTTATTAAGATGAGAATAATACGAAATCTAGTTGCTTGCAGCTGTGCTTAATCTTTAATTAGTCGGCTAAACAAGTAGTACTAGTGCTTGTGGCAAACAACGCCCCCCAAATTTGATACTTACAGAATGTTTTAGATATTTTGGAACGACCATACCACCTTCCCAATATTAATTCGAGTATTTTCCACGTAGCAGTGCTACCTCAGAAGGGAACATTAAGAAAAGGAATTTGGATTTGGATTTCAATGTGTCAGCAAATACTCTTGCTTTATGTTTAATAATCTAAATTATACAAATTAAACGCAACTCAGATTAAATGTTAAGCAATATTGTTAAGAGGTTTTTTTAGCAATGCCCACTAGACGTTGTGTCACTTTGTCCTATGAACTTTCAATTTGGTTTTGAGCTCCCTAATCTTTCAAAACTTGTTCATGTGCCCCATTTTGTCAAATTTAGGCATTTTCATCCATTCAAGTTAATTAATATTTAGTTTGACCAACTTAAAGCTTAATTGACTTGACCAATTCTTACTTTGAATGGGAATTTCATAGATGAAAATGGGTGAAAATGGTGATTTCATGGGTGAAAATGGTGTCTGAGGGGAAGAATGAGTCGAATCAATTACGGCTCCCAGAAATTTTTTAGCGGAGGTACAATATTGACTAAGTATGAAAATGGTTTTTCGGAATAATCATTTTCTCAAGATAATTTTTGGCAGCTTTTATTCCTTATACATCAAATAAGAAAACTTGATTTTATGGGATTTTAGTATGAAGTATATATTGACTTAATGAGCTATCATTTTTAGCCTAAATCGTATTTTGCACTAAAACCGAATTTTCATATTTTTATTTGGTGGGAATTTGATTTTCTAGTATTTTTATTTGAATCCAAATGGGGGGTACTTCCTTATTTACATTGTAAACTTAAGTAAATGGAGTAATATAAAAATAAATAAAAGTAAAAAGATAAAGACATTTACTTAAATGTTGAAAATGGAAATAAGGTCATTTGTACACCAGTTGAGCAAAGGGACAATTTAAAGCACCTACAATGGTTTTTCCGGCGAAAGGAGGTGCAGCTGCACCTCCTTGCGCCTTAATAGATCCGCCCCTGCTTAAGGGAGTAAAACCAAATCCTAACTTGAATGGACAAAAAAGTCCTTGAATTTGATGGAGGAATTAACAAACTTAATAGAATGGGGCACATTGACACATTTTGAAAGATTAGGAGGACTCAAAACCAAATTAAAAGTTCATAGGGCAAAGTAGAATAAGGTCTATAATTTGGGGGCATTGCTAAAATTGTCTCTTGTTTAAGACAAAGACAAGACGAGAATCTCGTTTCATAATTTATTATCTCCATATTGTCATATATATACATATATATTAAATTAATTAGCAGAAAAAGATGTTTCAACATCCTTCACCAAAGTCAGGTGGCCATCGCAATCGGCATTATTACATTTACATATAGGAGGGTTCTAGCTGTCATGAGGATTCCTAGTAAACGTTAAACCGATAATATTTTACTGAATCACAAAAAAAAAAAAAAAAAAAAAAGAGGGGGGAAAAAATTTTTTTTTAGATTTTGCTTTAGGCTTTCAAAATTTTAAGATTTATACAAATAATATTATGAAGAAAGGAAAAAAAAAATTAGAAAAAACACATTGATTTATGTAGTTGACTTGTGGTCCAACTCAAGTTCTTCCTCCTCCTAAAATTAGAAAAGTTGACCACAGTCGTACAAGATTAGGGTAGGGGTCAGACTCTCAGAGACACTTGTCAACAAGATAATTGTGAGGCTGTTTTTTTAGGTACATACCTACCCTTTTTCTTACATACCAACCTTTCTCCTTTGTTTGTTTCCTCCTTCCGAATCAAGGTGAATCAAATTTGGTGTTTTTTTTTTTGGTTGCTATTTTTATTTTTAACTTTCGTGCACTTCTTATGACTACAACTAGTTATTTGTACCATATATTATATATGTGTACCATATCTCTAAATAATATAATATGAATATATGAATATACGAATATGAATAAAATGGTCGGCTTAATTTATGATATTGTGATTATGTTACTTTTTTGGGTCTTTTCAAGCTTAATTAGATGCAAACAACATATGTGATACATTTAACATTATTCATGTTTGCTCGAAAGTTTGTTTGACTTCAATGAGAATTTTGTAACATAGACAAATCATTTTCTTTTTTCTTTTTTCTTTTTTTTTTCTTTTTCAAAGAGAACACTAAGTACAGAGAATAAAAGGATGAGCAAGTGTTTATGTGGAGAACCGTTGTCACTAGATATAAGAAGGTTCCTCTGGATGTTGCTCCATGGAAACGTTAAGAATGTGCTAAACTTAACTTAATGTGTTTCATGTGGGAGGTAATGATAGCCGAATAGATTTTAAGGCGGCCACAGTCTACAATAGAAACTTTCTCCTTTTTCTTCTTTTTCTTCTTTTTTTCCACAACCCTTAATCATGGCAAGAGAAGAATGATGGTGATATATCAACAAGTCCACCCGCGGAAGGGTCAGTCTCATTAGACGTCACATATCCATCTATTTTCAGAGAAGATGCTAAAAACTTATCCATAACCCTAATTTCTTTTTGGGATAAAAATGTCAGTGTGCATGTCCATCGTATACTCAAAAATGTCAGTGTGCATATCCATTATAATTAATTTCGATTTCTTTTTTGTTTTTCTAAATTAAGTGTTTAATGGATATGTTGTATAAGTCTTTTTTAATAAGAATCATCGCATCATACGAGCAACATATGATGGGTACATATACGTGGACGTTGCAAATCACCTCACCGGAAAGGTTTTCTTTTTGGGGTGGGAGTTCTACAAGTCTTACTCTTGGTCTGTCAATAATACAAGCTAGATAAGTTTTTCCAAGCCTTGTATTGAAGTCAAGAATATTAGTTTCTTCCTAAGCACAGCAGCATCATCTCACAGACCTTGAAAACAAAGAGATAAGAGAGTTGTTGTTAGTTAATTATTTTAAATCCAGAATCAGAATGATTACTCCGCGTGCATGAATCCAGAAGCAACATATGATGATTCCGATTAACAAAATTTGACCTTAATTAAGCATATATATCAAATGGCCACATAAGAGTTTCACAAGTTGATGACACAACGGATGCAACAAAGTCTCCTCAATAATTGATCCGATTTCATGATGATTATTTTCTATTTCCAGAGCTGCAGTTAAGCTTAATGCATTATAAAAGTAAGCGAATTGCAACATGATTGAAAACATGCTCATCACATGATTGAAAAAAAATACAAAAAGTAGGGTGGGAAAATGTAGAATAGAGGGCAACTTACTTTTGAGTACTTATTCATTGGAACGGGATTGAAATTAGGTCACACTAATCATGATCAGATAGCTTTTTATGGGTTCTCGACTCCCAAATTAAGACATTACAAGTTAAGAACCTCCCCAGAAGAAACCTACTATTTCCCATCTCTCTCTCTCTCTCTCTCCAGAAGAAACCTACTATTTCCCAACTCTCTCTCCCTCTCTCTCCCCAGAAGAAACCTACTCTCTCTCTCTCTCTCTCTCCCCCCAGAAGGAACCTACTATTTCCCAACTCTCTCTCCCTCTCTCTCTCTCTCTCTCTGTATCATTTGCCACTAACAAAAATCACTGCTCTACGTCATTCAACGATAGGCTCTGTACTTTGGAGATCGACCTCAAGGATGATGTGTGCAATTTGTGGGATTGAAGAAAACTCTATTAAACTAATCATGTCTGGTGCTAATGCTAATTAAGACCATCTTCAACCATGTTGGGGTTAAACTCAAAATTTCCATCTTTCAAAATATAACTATTCTTGTATTGCCAGAATCAAACTGTTTTTTCCTCCAACCATGTAGACTCATAATTTGAGTCCGCAACTTTATTAAACTGTTTAAGAATGGTTAACCGTAATTTTTTATTGACATTATTTTTGTTTAAACATTCATGATTTAATTTTTTGAACATTTTAACCTAAAAAATCCAAAACATAATATAATTTCACTTAAAAATAAAAGTACAACAAAAGGATGTGTATTTATAGAGTTTGGGATAAGTTTTGAAGTTGGATCTAAATTAGATTAATTATATATTTTAAAAAAAATTGACTGTTGGATGTGATTTTTTCCCATTGAAATTGCGTAGATATAATCTTGGCCATTGATCATATATAGCCATTGCAATTTATTTTTTAAAAAGAACGAAACATATTCCATGGTTGGAACCACTATGTGGGCTCCGGTG